TTTCTTTCATTAGTTTTTTTTAGTAAGGTTTTAATGAGGCACATTATTTGTTTATAGGCATCCAAGAGAGAGTGTTATAAATATTGCAATATTAAGTGCGAATGTCCATAACTTTCTAAGAGTTGTCTTTTGGAATTCCACACTTAAAACCTATAATCTACAACATGAATGACTTCTTAGGAGTTTTCTATGATTAATACTCATAGCTTCCAAATGTTATACTCCTCCGGTCCTTATTATAAGACCCAATTTGACTTTTTATTTGGTCCTAATTATAAGACCCAATCCATTTTCTCTCTTATATTTATGTATTTTTTTCAAGATAATCCTTCTAATAATGATAGTTTTAGCCAATATACTTAATTAGCAAGAATATTTTAGGAATAACAACACTTATTTATTATAAATAACCAACTTAACTTACTTCCTTAATCTCCTCAAATAAGTCAATTGAGTCTTATAATTAGGACCGGAGGAGTATATCTTACAATTATATAGATCTATTCCTTATTATAACTCTTAAAAAGAATTTAAGGACTTGTGGCCTATAAATAGTAGGTATGTATCAAGTGATTGGAAGCTTGAAATCAATAAAAGATTACTTGATATTCCTCCTTCAATTCTCTCTTGTATGTCTTCTCCATCCCTCTCATCTTAGTTCCTTATATTTCCTTTATTTTACAACACAAAGTCTTCTTTTGCAATTTTCTCTAAATTCTTTCTAAGAAATATATGTTGATTTTCTATAATATCTCTTCAACCATTTATATTAGAAACAGTCACATTAATAGAAACCTCTTGTTAATATGTAATGGCATGAATAATTCATGAAAAAAATTCTAATTATAAATATGAAAGATAAACTAAGTTTTGATTTTATTTTTAGAATCAAATAACCCCTTAATTAAAGAATAAGAGAGAGTAGCACTATATCAGCCATGAATTATCACTTTTTCATCATCATACCAACTAACTTTTAAGCAATAAAATATTGTCTCTTCTTCCTTTTCTTGACGCAAAGTTGGATTGATTAAATATTACTAGATTATGAATGGGACAATAATTATGCTTGCTTGTGTTCAAAATGAAAAACATTTTTAACTTTTTCTTCTTGATTTTGTTGAGAACCCCATGTTTGATACAAGAAAATTAGAGGGGAGGAAAAATTTTAATAAGCTCAATTTGAAAAATTAGAAAAATAAAGTTATAAAATTTTAATAAAGAGAATATGTAAGATAAAAGCGCAATAAAAATTAATTAAAAGTTTTTAACCCCACTTCAATTTTTTAAATCAAGCTTATTTTTGGCAAAAAAAAATTGAGCTTATTAAATTTTTTTCACCTCTTCACTTCTCTCCGTTTTCCTCATATCAAGCGGATTCTGAATTTTTAATATATTAATGTGAGTCACACCATGAGCCATTTGTTTTAAGAGGGAAAAAAAACTTTACACTACTTATCTAATATCCCAAAATATGCTATTTTAATAATAAAAGTGTATATTTGGTCCTTTATCACCCTATACTTTGGACTTGGAAATCTCATCTGAAACTAGAGCAAGAAAAGAAGCTGCTCTACTAATCATTGAGGATAAACGTTGGGTTCCACCAGGAGATGATTGCTATGAATTGGGATTGCTTCTATTATCGTTCTAGATATTATGAACGTCATATGCTACTGTTATGGGTGAATTGAAAATCCTCTATGTAAGGGTTAGTAGTTTTTCTTTCAAGAACTGAGTGATTTGCGATGGATGCCACTTGGTGTTTGTATAAACCAAGACATGAATGTTGCATTTGAGTGTTTTCCTCTAGTACATGTGAATGTAGATTGTTTGCGTCCTAAATGGAAGGGTTTGGCACTAGTAGAACTTTTCAAACTTGGCCAAGCCCTATGCTCATGTTGCTTGGTGTGGATCCCAAGTCTTCATACTTAAGCTGCAAATTGGGTTGCTCAAAAGATTGGGTTGCTTAGCCCCCTCTCCGTCTTGAATCTATCCTAGCTGGGGCTTCGATGAGAACTAGGAAGTTTTCTTTTTAGTTTTTATCCTTTCATTTACGTTAAACTATTTTGTTTCTCTTTTCCTTTATGTATGTTTGGGAATTAATGAAGTCATATGTCTTGGTAGGAGAAAGAAAAAACGGAGAGGGTGAGGCTAACAACTTGCTCAAATTTAGACAGTAATTTCACACTTGAATGACTCTCATAAGATTTTATTTTTGAAAACCAAAAAAAGAAGAAGAAGAAGAAACCAAAATTTAGGATGTGCTATAAAACTAGATCCAATATGTGAATTGAGTGTCCCATCAATTTACTTCATTTTCTCCGGCAGCATATGGTTCTAATTTTTTTTTAAATACAAAAAATTTTAGGTGAATTAGGTTTGATCTGATTAAAGTATTGAGCCGAACAAATCAGCCGTGATCTTGTTTGGTTCAGCATCAACATGAGGTCAGGAGTGTTTGGATAAGAATAAAACCAAGGTTTCAAAAGTATTTTGACAGTATATAAAGTAAATATGTGGAGGAATTTATCTCAATTTATAGAAAAATACTTCTGAAAAGTGCTTTTGGAATTATCCAAAGGGTCCGGCAGACTGCTTAGACTAATCTGGACAGTTAGGGCCTCAATTTTGCTCCTACTTCTATCAGAGCCAAGTTCTTTTTTTCCCCTTCTATCAGAGTCAAGATTTCAACCTGATTTAAATTTCTACAATATGAACACAATAACCTCAAATTCAAGCCTGAATGAATCTCATTTGTATAGAAAAATAACGGGGAGAAATAATAGTAAGTATATAGAAGAATGAGGAAAAAAAGAAAACATGGATGGGGAGAAGTAGAGAAGAGGACGGTAAGTCGGCAACTTTGTTATACGGTGTAGACGACGGCAATGCTATAGAGGACGGTGGCGGTGTTGATTTATTCTGCAGATGAAGGCTTGTTTAGAGCGACATGAAGCCAGCAAGTACGAGCAACTTTTGGGTTTTGTTCTTCTTCTTACTTGTCGAAAACAAAGAATGATAGATTTGAGAGGTTGTGACTGAAGAAGAGAAGAGAAGGTTAAAGCAAAGTGATGCCATTGTGGAGGAGAAAAAAAGAGGCCAAGGTGGGGAAAGAAAGATGATGGAGGAGCGACGAAGGAGGCATAGGGGAAAAGGGGAAAAAAAGAGGGAAAAGGAAAATGATGGAAGAGAGAGAGGGAGGCACATGTGAAAGAGGGAAAGAGAAGAGGAGGAAAAAAAGAAGAAAAAAGACAATGATGCAGGAGAGAGAGGGCGCATAGGAAAGGGGAAAAAAAGAAAGAATTAGGTTTAGGTAAAATAAAAATATACATATTTTATAAATTGTCTGAAGCATGGGTCAAACCAGACCGTTTGGTCTATAGAGTCAACCTGAAACCCGGTTTAACCTGATGACCAATTTGATCTAGTCTGGTCTGATTTTTTATTTGGACTGCTTTTTTCAAGTTGGACTGCATCGGGCTTTTATCAGACTGGACCGAATTACCTGGACCATCAAGCTTTTTGCACAGCTCTAGGTCCTAGGGGCTAACTAGGGTTAAGGCATACATTCAGACTCAGAGAGCATTTATAAATATATTTACAAATCACTCACCAACAAGATTATCACATTGACAGTAAGATTTGAATTTACGATATTGTGAGTTATGAGTTAACTTTTTACTAATTAGATTAACTCTGGTTGGCATATGGTTCTAATTTCTAAAGAATCTCCCCATCTTCCTCAGCAAATACATGTAAACTTTAATCCACTCTATTAGGTTTGTCATCAACTCAATTCTGTTTTAAAAACTAAGATAATTATGTTTGGAATCTTATAACAAATTATTTAATTGTCGCCTTCCATCACATGTTTAGAGAAGCTAATAGTGGTACTGACCGACTTTCTTATTGGCAACGCCATCTAGATGATGATGCTATAATTCTTATTGTCCTTACTGCCGGGTGTAGGGACTTGATTTAGGTTGATCTTTGTATTAAGCTATATGGTGCTAGCTAGCATTTTCTCTCATACGTTGTAACGCCTAATTTTAATTCCTATGATTTAAATGACAATAAGGTATTACTCTTGTTCTTAATATAAGACCTAATTAACTAAGTTGAATAGAATAATATGTCACTCAAATTAGTTAATATGATATGTTTTTTTTAAACACCACACATATCTTATTTAGGTGTTTGGATGGAAACTAAACCATTGTTTTCAAAGTGCTTTTACGGTATACGAAGTAAATATGCGAAGAAGTTTGCTTTGTTTTCCAGAAAAGTGCTTTTCAAAAACACTTTTTGAGTTAGTCAAACACCCCCTTAATTCCTTTCCTCCTTCTCTTAGTTAATTACTCCCTCCATTCCTTATTATAAAAGACAAACAACCAAATTACGTTTATAAAAAAAACAGTTAAAATTAGTTGAGCACAATTAATATGTAAAAAGTATAATGTTTTTCCCAACAATGCCCCCATTAATAAGGAGAGAGAGTATGAGAGAGAACAATTAAATTATTACAAGAAAGAGAAGTGAGAGGGAAAGAGAGTATGAGTTGGAGACAAAATAAATAGGGGTAAAATAGAAAATCAATACAAAAAAATAGAGACAACTTTAAGTGTCTTTTATATGAAAACATACCATAAGCATCAAATGTCTCTTATAATAAGAAATGGAGGGAGTATTGTTGGGAAAATATCAATATGATTAATTTAAAAAGAATTTATAAACATGTAAAATATGTCTTACATATAAGACCAATATCAATCCTCCAATTAGATCTTACATCAATTCTTCAATTAGGTCATATATTAAGTAGAAGAGGCGTATTATGTTATTCAGTGATTGAGTCTTTCAATTTTCATCCATGATCCAATCACGACGAATGATATTCATCGTTCATGGCAACAATTCAAAAGCAATTATCTTAGTACACCCAACAAAACAAGGAAATTATGTAAAAGAATTTTGTAATGAATAATATTTACATCAGGTGATCAAAAACCAAAAAAGTTTAATATACGATGCCGAGGTTACAAGGTTGAGTAGAGAAGATTCATGTTGACATAGGTCCGCATACCCCTCACTAAGCAACACTAAACACCACAGCTCCATTGCCCTGGCAGAACTTTAAGTATGGCACAAGGATATTCTCAAGTGCCAATATTTTCTCCCACATCAACAATGGGTTCAAGCACTGGATTTTCGAGGTGATGTATATGTTTGATCAAAATTCACTATTGACGTGACAAACTACCCGTGCTTATAAGCTGAAAAATAGAACCCAAAAACACCAACGCCTGTGGGAATTGACTTCCTTTGAATTCCATTTATCCCAATCAAACATAATTTTTTTGCTCCTCATTTAAGGATTTGATTGTTAATAGAGCATAATGGCATCTAACTAGTGAGATAAGGCTTATTATTGTTGCATTTTCATTCTCATCCTCAACCGGTTCCCTTATACCAAACATGACCTTAGTTGTGATCCAAGTACTTCTCTTCTTTGTTCTCTCTCCTTTCATGTTCCCAAAATTTCATTTCTAGTCCTAGAAAGTCTGCCATCCCACAAATCTCCTCAGAATCAGGGTGAGACTTATCCCCAGAGGAGAACCCAAACAAATTCAAGGAATCAATATTATTCTTACCAACATCTACCCAACTAAACCCTATTTCCTTCCTCACTCCCCTCTCTCTCATCCCTCTCCTCATTTCTGCAACTTTCTCCCACTTTCCTTTCTCAGCATACAAGTTTGACATCAACACATATGAACCTGAACAAGTGGGCTCCATTTCTATCAAACGATCGGCCACCTTTTCAGCTATCTCAATGTTCCCATGTAACCTACAAGATCCAAGCAAACTTTGCAATACAGTCAATCCAGGTCCTCCTGGAATCTGATTCATCAACTCTTCTGCCTCTTTTAGTTTCCCTGCACGGCCCAGCATGTCCACCATAATAGAGTAGTGTTCAGGATGTGGTTCAATGTGATGGTCTTTGATCATAGTGTCAAAGACTTTCAGGCCAATATCAACCATGCCGTTTCTACAACATGCTGTTAGGACAGAAAGGAAAGTGATAGAGTCAGGAGTGATCTTTTCCATTTCCATACGCTTTAACAAACTCATCACCGACTCATAGTCTCCATGTCGAGAATATGCAGATATTATTGCAGTCCAAGCAAACTGGGTTCTTTCAGGTGTCTCATCAAAAACTCGTAGAGACTCGATTATGCTTCCCCGCTTGGCATACATGTCAAGAAGAGCCCCTGATACAATTGGGTCAGTGCTTAAACCAAGTTTGATCAAGGTGGAATGACAACGTTGGCCATGTTTTAAGGATATATCTTCGGCAGCACCAATTGCATTTAGGACACTACCAAAAGTGTATTGGTTGGGTGTCATCTCCTTTAAAGAAGACAAAAATGTAAGAAAAGATTCTTTAAACATGCCATTTTGAGCATAGCCAGAAATCAAAGCATTCCATGATATTACTTCTCTGGTTCTAAGTTCCTCAAAAATCTTCTTCGACTCTTGAATGGACTCAAACTTGGCATACATGGTAATGAGGCTATTGCACACAGTTGACTCAGATAAAAAGTTGGCTTTTATACATAACCCATGAACCATTAGACCTTCATTTAGCAAACTCTGAGTTGTGATTGCATGGATTAATCCTATAAATGTAACTTCATTTGGATACACATTATCGATTCTCATCTCATTAAAGCGAGAAATTGCATCTTCATCTATTGATATGATGGTAGTCCAAGAGACTACATTACGGCTACTCATGAACTGAAATACCAATTTTGCATCCCTGATGACCTCACACTTTGAATAGGTTGAAATCAAAACATTACCTACCGAAAGATGTCTGTCATATCCCAATTTTATGGTCAAACCATGAACCTGTCTCCCTAGTTCTAAATTTTTTTCATGACCACAAGCTGAAATTGCACCGGTTAACGAGACATGGTCAGGCAGTGTACCTTCTCTCATCATATTGATGAATATCAAAACAGCTTCCAACCTATCATCTCCCTCTTGCGCGTATCCTGAAACCATTGCACTCCACGAAACCAAATCTCGTTTAGGCATTTCATCAAACACCCTCCTGGCTTCAGCTAGTCGCCCCCACCTAGAGTACAAGGTTATAAGCGCATTCCCTATAAATATCTCACTCTCCAATCCGTGTTTTAGTATGGGAGAATGCAACTGCAATCCAGCCCAAAATTCATTACCATCTGTACAGTAAGACAGAACTGTAGTATATGTTACCGGGTCAAAAACAATCCCATTGTAATTCATAGTACGAGCAAAACTAAATGCATCCTCACTCTTCTCAAATCCTGAAAGAATTGTGTTCCAAGAGACAATGTCAGGATGGCTCAAATTCTCAAAAATCCGCAAAGCAATCCCAAAATGTCCAGACTTGCAGTACAAGTTCATAAGTGAATTTGAAACTGTGAGATATGAAACAAACCCGCCAGATACGGCAAGTCCATGGATTTGGTACCCGAGTTTGAATTCCCCTCGACAAGCCTTGAGAGACAGAGCAAACGTGACTTCGTCAATGTTCTGAACAAAACCCAGCTGAGATTGTTCCCTTAAGATGGCTAAAGCTTGAAAAGGAAGGTTCTTGTGCAAGCAATTTACCATAGAGCGGTTAACTGAGGAAACTGTTCGCTGAGGAATTCGGTCGAGCAGGTGGAGTTCATGGATGAAAGATTTGAATGTTATAGAAAAGTATAATCGTTGTACTGGTATTTCATTAAGGGTTTTCAAACCCAGATAGCCGTAACCCATCGGCAAGTGATTTTTACTACAACTGGTTCAGACCTTCTTCGAGTGATTCTCAGTCTCGCTCCAATGCATTGCCAGAACCAACTTTTAGAGAAACGAAATGGGGGTGCTACAACGAGGAAAGGAACGAATAACGAGAGGCAAAATGATGGCAGAAACGAATGGAAGTGAAAATGGGTTTTCGCTAACCTCACGTTGAAACTTGTTTCTTTGTGAATCCTGATGCTTCAGTTTCTTCGGTGCTTGCACAGACCTATAAGAGTGTATATGGTGGAGGCGACGACGAAAATGAGAGCGATGAGCGAGATCGAAGAGGCTCGTCGTCGTAAGCCGTGGCCGTCCCCTCCCGATGGCCTGACTGGTTAGAGGGGAGGGGAGGGAAAATAAACCCCTCCCCTTGAGAAATTTTGGCTCTCTTTTAAATGGGAGTTTTCTTACAAGGGAATCGAGTATTTTGACTAGTTCTTTGAACTAATGTATAATTTTATCCTGATTTTTTCCCTCTATTTGCTTCTCCTTTCTTGCTTTGACCGGCTATGCTCCAATTTAAATTCTTTCTCTTGACCAATCATGTTCACATTTTTATATACCAAGTGTTGTTTTGTGTTTTTTTCTTGATATAATGGGGAAAAAAAAACACTTTCTGTTCTCTTATAAAATCAATTATTAAGTTCCTCATTCACTTTCCTATGGTTTTACTGTGTTGCTTTGTGTTTTCTTGCAAAGCCAAGCGTTGCTTTGTATTCTCTTACAAAGCCAATTTATCTAAAGTATACAACTAGCTTTTTATTCACATTGTCTCCTTTCAACATGTTAAGTTCCTCAAAAAATTATTTCATTTTTCTATGACAATGATTTCTAGGAAGAGAAATTCCTCAAATAAGATGAAATTTGTTATTTTCATTGCAATGAGAAATTGACATGTTGAAATGAGGACGAATTTTGATAAATTATATAATTTGAATTAAAGTGTAATTAATTTATATAACATACAAGGGAAAAAATATAAACTAACATATGAGGGTATAATGGTAAATTAGTTATTGTCTCCCATCCCCTCCCTATTTGATCTAAACAAAGAATCATTGAATATTCCTTTCCTCATCTCTTTTCAATCGAGGGGGTGTTTGGCAATTTAAAGAAAAGTGTTTGTTCACCCCAAATCATGGTTTGAGCTAAATAATTGCCAAACACCCAAATATTTTACTAAATTTTGGTTTGGTCCAAAACCTAGGTTTGTGGAGAAGCAGAAAATTTTTGTTTTCGGGAGTAAATTTTGAGTTGTTGGAGTAATAATTATGTCCTATCAGAATACACCCAACAGTATATGACAAAAACACCCACCGAATTGAATCACAAGCTTCACCTCTTCTTTGGAAATTCTTTCACCTTTGCTCTTTCTGAAACATAACAGAATGCCTTGCTGCCGGTGAAGTTGTCGTTGACTCGTGAGAACAAGCACCGGTAAGGTATTTCTCAACTCTGCAGAAGAAGATTGCGCCTTGGGTAGTCTGATCCGTCCATCCTTGATTTGCAATCCTCGTTGTTTGCATCGTCCGGTAGTGGTTTGGTGAGATCAATGTGTTTGGTTTCCTGGCTCATATCCACCACTCAGGCAAGCTCTCTCCTCTTCAATAATCATTTTCTTCCCTCATGCATTTTCTTCACTCACGCATTGCATCGATTCGTCCATCCTTCATATGTTCCTTGCTTGCGATTTGCTATCTCCTCTTTAATAATCATCTGCTCATTAAATCATTTGGTCTTGTTATTTTTTTATTATGCTTTTCCTTGGTTCATAGCTGCTTGTAGGTGTTCGTTGGAGACAGAGGATCTGTTTTGTTCTTAGATTTCCTCCCACCTTCATTTTTTTCCCAACTACATTTGCTTTCACTGATGGCTTGATTTGTTCGTTTTAGTGCTGTCTTCATTTGTTTTTCCTCCCACATTCATATATTGCTTGTTCTGTTGAAACCATATGATCTTGTTACTTGGTTCGGTTTCATGGTAATCTGATTTCATAAAATAAAATCTGGCTTTTGGAGACAGAAGACCTGTTTTTGTTCAACTGGTTTGGTTATGATAGAAAATTAGAAATGATTTTATTGCAAAGAGAAAACTCATGATTTACATGTTATTAGAGACAGAGGATTTGTTTCTTGACCTGTTATTTACCCATCTAAGGTTTGGGATGGTCAATCCCCAAAAGAAAGGTTATTCGTGTGGCCTCTTATTTGCATGATTTTGTTGCATGTTTGTTTTGGAGATAGAGGATCTATTTGTTTTGAAATCCATGTGTAGCATACAAATATACATATGAAGGAAAGAAAAATGATAATAATATTGGGATCCATGGCTTATTTGGATAACAATGACACTTGTTATTTTAACTGGTTTTGGGTTGATTAACTTGTAATGACTGAAGAGCTGTAATTGTTTTATAGTATAATGAGTAAGGACAAAGTGAAAGCTTCATAGGACCTAAAAACCACAAAGGTGTTCATTGACTTGTGCATTGAACAACTTCAACAAGGAGAAAGAATAGTACAAGCTTAACAAAGAAAGCTTGGTAATTCTTTCTGATAAGTTCACTACAAAGATTGGGAGGGTGTATACAAAACCTCAATTTAAGAACAAATATGATTCCCTGCAAAAAGAGCACAGACATGGGATAGGTTGCTTCACGAGACAGGTTTGGGATGGGATATTGAAAAGAATACTGTTAGCACAACTGATGATTGGTGGGAGAAAAAAATTAGTGATAATGAATAAACTTTTTGATCTTACATTTTCTCCCATGTTAATTTTTTTGTATATTTTATAATATTATTGGTGTTGAATGTACAGGAAGTTCCAAACTACAAAAAATTTAGAGAAAGAGGACTTCAATTTTGAGATGAATTAACTCAACTATTTGGGAGTATGGCTGCAACTGGTCCACAATCATGGGTACCTTCTTCCATAACACTTCCAAGTAAAGGAGCACCTGATGATGATATGGAAGAAGGGTCCGAAGATAGTGATGAAATTTGAGCTATATCAATTGATATAAGTGAGGAATTTAACTTAGTGACTTTCAACGAAAATAGTAGAGGTAGTGGAAGCAACATTGGGATGAGGCAGGAAAACAGTCATGTGGGTAAAACCACAAGTGGGAATCGACCTAGTAGCTCATTGGGGGTTAGAAGAAAGAGTGAAGCCATAAAGAAGAAACCATCTTCTTTTACAAAAATAGCATATGCACTTAGTAGGATAGTTGAAGCAAATGACACTGATTCTCAGCATGAAAATGATGTGGTTTCACGAGCACAAGCTAAAAGGTTGGAAGAAGAAGTGCATGCTTATGAGATTTTGATTACATGAGTCATGTCTCACTTTAAAACAATTGATGAAGTTTTTAATGATATTGATCTGTTTACACGGTACACACAACTCCTTATGAACAGACCAAAGGCATAGGGAATGTATGTGGTTCTAAAGGATACAAGGGAACAACTTGTGACCTTTTTAAAGCATTCCACTAAGAATTTATGACTTTTTTATTATATTAATGACATGTTAGCTTAAAACAATCAAAATTTGCGGAGGTAGTTAGGAATGCTGTTAACATTAGTATATGTGTGTCGTATTATGTGACTATTGAATTATTGTGTGAATCAGACAACTCGTTACTTTCTTAAATGTTTCATAATTTCTACATAATGATTCTAAACTTTATGTGTATGTGCACACGATAAAATGAAAATGGATGATGAAATTAAACTTGTGGAAGAGCATGCAAAGCGACCAAAAAAAAGGTTAACCAAGTTGCAGCATTTGTTGGTGGATACGCTGCTCTTTATTTGTGTAAAGAGGCCAGAGATACAAGTGTTTGTATATGTAGCACACGGGTAAGGGACGTTTTAGAGGGCAACCATACTCGTTGTTATAATATGTTTAGGATGGAAAGGGGTGTGCTCTTAAGTCTTTGCACAGAATTATTGATAGTCTAAGGAAAACTAAAAATATAGGGATATATGAATCAGTTACAATGTTTTTAAATGCCGTTGGCCATATGCTTAGTAGCAGAATGCAGCAAGAAAGATTTCAGCATTCAGGAAAGACAATTGGCAAACATTTTCATAATGTCTTAATGACATGCTACAGACTTGTTATATCCAATATCAAACCGAAAGATCCAACATTCTAACATGTTTATTTAAAAATATGGCATAGTAAATACTGGCCTTTTTTCAAACATGCTATTAGAGCAATTGATAGCACATATGTTTCCTGAGTTGTTAGTGCAACAAACCAACCTAAATTTATTTCTAGAAAAGGAACAATATTGCAAAATGTGATGGTAGTCTGTGATTAAGACATGTGCTTCACTTTTGTTTTAGCTAGACAGGAAGGTAGTACATATAATGCTCGCATATTTGATCATGCCCTAACAACTCCTTCGATGAACTTTCCCCCCTACCTAAAGGTATTTTTTAATTTGTTACATTTTATTTACATTTAGCTTGACAATACAAACATTATTGACAGTAATTATATATTTGATATATGTAAATATTATTTGGTGGATGTTGGCTACCCTAAACCAAATGAATATCTCGACCTATATAGACAGGAGCATTACTATCTGCGTGATTTTCAAAGAACATCTACACTTGAAAATGAAAACGAGGTCTTCAATTATTTCCATTTAAGTTTAAAGAGTGCAATTGAAAGAACTTTTGGAATTTGGAAGAGTAATTTTACAATCTTATGAAACATGCCATCCTTTGACTATCAAACACAAGTTAAAATCATTTGTGCAACGATAGCTATACATAATTTTATTAGAATAACATCTGTTATTGATCCTAGATTTATTCAGTATGAAGAAGAAGGTACCTATGCATAAAAAGATGTTGATGATGGAGTTGGATTTTCACATATACATTCATCAATACAATCTTCATCTTACATGACTCAAGTTTGTGACACCATAAGAGATGAACTTGTTAATTATATATAAGGATAGTAGTCATGCTTTTTTTTATATCGATGCAACCTCTTAATTATTATGACACTTCTTTATTTATATTCTTTTTATTAATGTTATACCTTATATTCTCACAGCAATTATTAATTATTTTAATAATTAATAAATTTTTTTAATACGTGTTTATTCAATTTTGTCAAAAAATATCATGGCATTTCATATGTATAATCTTTAAGATAAAATAATATTTTTCTATTCGCAAAAAAAAAATATTTTTTCCAAAAATATTTTTAATATTATATTTTATAAATACATATATAAACATACTAACAATTAATTAATTATATTTTTTATGTTTCATTTATTACATTGGCAAATTTAAATTATTAGCAAATTTA